CACAGGGCAGCAGTGGGTAGGATGGGGGGCAAACAGCCACTGAAGCTGAATGTCAGCTGGTTCCCCCAGTTTCTGAGCCCTCGCTCTCCACCCAGAGGCCCAGTTGAAGTGGTCAAGGACATGGGGCAGCCAGGCAAAAACAAGGAGGGTTTGATGTGGGACTGGTGGGGTGTGGGGCTGGGGAGAGAGGCCTGGGACTGCTCAGCATTCTCAGCTGTGAGCTCCCTCCCCACCGAGGCGCGCCTGGCACCTTCACTGCACAGCTTCTGGAGGAGGCTGAAGATGCACCTCTTCCCCTGACTTTGGATGCCTGAGGCGTGTATTTTTAGGACTGTAAGTTGTTGTTTTTATTTTAGAAGAATATTATGTTGCAATGTTGTAACCTGCCCTGGACCCTTAGAGTGAATAGCAGGCAATAAATGAAATCAAATTAATATTATTATTAATAATAAGTACTTGGACTCTTGGCTCGAGAATTCCTGAAGACTTGTTTCTGAGAGGGGGAACCAGGACACCAGCCTTCAGTCCCACCGAAGTTTCTTCTTCCTCCTCCTCCTCCTCCTCCTCCTCCTCCTCCTCCTCCTCTATCAGAGCCTGCAGATCCCAACAGAATCCTGACTAGACTGCTGGACTCAGGCCTCCCATGGGAATTTCTCCCAACATGCCGTTTTGCTCAATGTAGAATTTTGTGAACAATTTCCCCCAAACACAATGCCTTTTGGTATGTTACTCTCACTAATTCACAGGTTTTAATGCACAATGCTTGACCCTCATATACGTGCCACATGTTGGAGATGGGTTGGAGAAGTGCATTGCGAAATTTGGAAAAATGCACATTTTAAAGAATGGCTGTCTTTCAGTCTGCATATTCTACAGGGAAAGGCAAATCAAAGTAGGACTGCTGTTAAATGCAAGCTGAACCAAGTTCTTCTGCCATCCCTAACTCCTGAGCTTTTCAGGGTGAATGAAACCAGCTCATCCAGCAGTCATGAATGGTCAATTCCTATCTTCTTCTTCTTTGGCAATTACTCGTAGCCAAGTAAGATTGTCTTCCATAAACACAGTTTGAACAATGAGTCTGTAAGTGACTGTGGAGGCCAATTCTGGACCCACTCGTTCTTCCACAGTGGGAAGATTAGTTCCTGGGCGGGAATTGATCATGGTGTGGATTTGCCAAGTGTGCCTTCCTCTTAGCACGTTTCTCCCTTGCGCTCTGAGTTGGAGTGTCTTCAAAGTCCATGACACCTTTGGTGAAGGCTGTTCTCCAACTGGAGCGCTCTTAGGCCAGTGTTTCCCAGTTGTTGGTGTTTATACTACATTTTTAAAGATTTGCCTTGAGACAGTCTTTAAACCTCTTTTGTTGACCACCAGCATTACACTTTCCATTTTTAAGTTCGGAATCGAGGAGTTGCTTTGGAAGACGATCATCAGGCATCCACACAACATGACCAGTCCAATGAAGTTGATGTTGAAGAATCATTGCTTCAACACTGGTGATCTTTGCTTCTTCCAGTACACTGATATTAGTTCGCCTGTCTTTCCAAGTGATGTGTAAAATTTTTTGGAGACACCGTTGATGGAATCTTTCAAGAAGTTGGAGATGGCATTTGTAAGTGGTCCATGTTTCACAGGCATATAGTAAGGTTGGCAGTACAATAGCTTTGTAAACAAGCATTTTGGTTTCCCTGCAAATGTCCCGGTCCTCAAACACTCTGCACTTCAATTGGGAGAAAGCCACACTCGCAGAGCTCAAGAGATGCTTGATTTCGGCATCAATCTTGACCCTTGTGGAAAGATAACTGCCTAGGTAGGAGAAGTGATCGACATTTTCCAACATTACACCATTGAGTTGGATTTGTGGCACTGCAGAGGGGTTATTTTGTACTTGTTGGTGCAGCAATTTGGTTTTTTGGATGTTGATTGACAGGCCAAGATTTTTTTAAGCTTCTTCAAAGATATTTAGGATGGTTTGGAGGTCATCCTCTGAGCGTGCACACACTACGTTGTCATCAGCATACTGAAGCTCTATGATGGAAGTTATGGTAACCTTACTCTTTGCTTTCAGCCTGCTCAGATTGAAGAGCTTTCCATCTGTTCGATATATGATTTCTACCCCAGTGGGGAGTTTCCCTTCGACAAAGTGTAGGATCATGGCAATGAAAATAATGAAGTTGGGGTGATAACACAACCCTGTTTAACTGAGTTAAGATTAAAAAAGGATGTGTACAAAAAATGGAAAAGGGGGGAAACCACCAAAGAGGAATTCAAACAAATAGCCAGCACGTGTAGACACAAAGTCAGAAAAGCTAAAGCACAGAATGAACTCAGGCTTGCTAGAGAGGTTAAAAGCAACAAAAAAGGCTTTTATGGGTATGTCCGTAGCAAAAGGAAGAACAAAGAAACAGTGGGGTCACTCAGAGGAGAAGATGGTGAAATGCAAACAGGGGACACAGAAAGGGCAGAACTCCTCAATGCCTTCTTTGCCTCAGTCTTCTCCGATAAAGAAAACAATGCCCGACCTGAAGAATTCGGAGCAAATGATTCAGCAAAGGAAACACAGCCCAGAACAACTAAGGAGATAGTACAAGAATACCTGGCTAGTTTAGATGTATTCAAGTCTCCAGGGCCAGATGAACTGCATCCAAGAGTATTAAAAGAACTGGCAGATGTGATCTCAGAACCACTGGCAGTCATCTTTGAGAATTCCTGGAGAACAGGCGAAGTCCCGGCAGACTGGAGGAGGGCAAATGTTGTCCCTATTTTCAAAAAGGGAAAAGAGAGGACCCAAATAATTACCGCCCAGTCAGTCTGACATCAATACCAGGGAAGATTCTGGAGCAGATCATTAAGCAAACAGTCTGTGAGCACCTAGAAAGGAATGCTGTGATCACCAATAGTCAGCATGGATTTCTGAAAAATAAGTCATGTCAGACTAACCTGATCTTGTTTTTTGACAGAATTACAAGCCTGGTAGATGAAGGGAACGCAGTGGATGTAGCCTACCTTGATTTCAGCAAGGCATTTGACAAGGTGCCCCATGATATTCTTGTAAAGAAGCTGGTAAAATGCGGTCTTGACTATGCTACCACTCAGTGGATTTGTAACTGGCTGACTGACCGAACCCAAAGGGTGCTCATCAATGGTTCCTCTTCATCCTGGAGAAGAGTGACTAGTGGGATGCCACAGGGTTCTGTCTTGGGCCTGCTCTTATTCAACATCTTTATCAACGACTTGGATGATGGACTCAAGAGCATCCTGATCAAATTTGCAGATGACACCAAACTGGGAGGGGTGGCTAACACCCCAGAGGACAGGATCACACTTCAAAACGACCTTGACAGATTAGAGAACTGGGCCAAAACAAACAAGATGAATTTTAACAGGGAGAAATGTAAAGTATTGCACTTGGGCAAAAAAAATGAGAGGCACAAATACAAGATGGGGGACACCTGGCTTGAGAGCAGTACATGTGAAAAGGATCTAGGAGTCTTGGTTGACCACAAACTTGACATGAGCCAACAGTGTGACGCGGCAGCTAAAAAGCCAATGCAATTCTGGGCTGCATCAATAGGAGTATAGCATCTAGATCAAGGGAAGTAATAGTGCCACTGTATTCTGCTCTGGTCAGACCTCACCTGGAGTACTGTGTCCAGTTCTGGGCACCACAGTTCAAGAAGGACATTGACAAACTGGAAGGTGTCCAGAGGAGGGCAACCAAAATGGTCAAAGGCCTGGAAACGATGCCTTATGAGGAACGGCTAAGAGAGCTGGGCATGTTTAGCCTGGAGAAGAGGAGGTTAAGGGGTGATATGATAGCCATGTTCAAATATATAAAAGGATGTCACATAGAGGAGGGAGAAAGGTTGTTTTCTGCTGCTCCAGAGAAGCGGACACGGAGCAATGGATCCAAACTACAAGAAAGAAGATTCCACCTAAACATTAGGAAGAACTTCCTGACAGTAAGAGCTGTTCGACAGTGGAATTTGCTGCCAAGGAGTGTGGTGGAGTCTCCTTCTTTGGAGGTCTTTAAGCAGAGGCTTGACAACCATATGTCAGGAGTGCTCTGATGGTGTTTCCTGCTTGGCAGGGGGTTGGACTCGATGGCCCTTGTGGTCTCTTCCAACTCTTCTATGATTCTAATACCTGATCCCACTGTGAATGGTTCACTTTGAGAGCCATTGTTATCTGTGATTGTTGCTGTCATATTATCGTGGAGGAGCCGAATGATGTTTACAAATTTATCTGGGCAGCCAATTTTCAGAAGGACAGTCCACAGGGCATTACGATCAGTGTCGAAAGCCTTAGTCAGGTCGATAAACGCCATATACAGGGGATGGTTTTGCTCTCTGCATTTTTCTTGAAGCTGTTGAGCGGCGAAAATCATGTCCACTGTCCCCCTAGAATGCCGAAAACCATTTTGGGATTCAGGAAGGGTCACCTCGGATATTGTTAAGACACTAATATCCTTGCAATGATTTTGCCGGCGCAGCTAATAGAGAGATGTCTCGATAATTTCTGCAATCAGTTCTGTCACCTTTTTAAAAGAGATTGATAATTTTGGCATTCCTAAAGTCTGCTGGGATTGCTTCTCTATCCCAGATTTTTTTGATGAGCTTTGAAGTTGTTGTGTAAGTTCAATTCCTCCCACTTTGAAGATTTCAGCAGGTATCCCATCAGGTCCACTGGCTTTGTTGTTTTTTATTTGGTTAATGGCTGTACACAACTCTCCCAGATTTGGAGATACTGCAAGCCCATCTCTAACTTGTTTTTGCGGAATTGGTGAGAGGACCTCAGCAGCTACGGGAGAGTTGCAGTTAAGGAGATGCTGGAGATTCCAGCGCAGTTCAATAGCTTTCTTATCTTTTAGAAGTGTGGTACCATCTGCTGAGCATAGGGGGCATATGCCATGATTTATTGGCCCATAGATGGTCTTTGTGGCTTTAAAGAAACTCTGTGTATCATGAGTGTTGTCTAAGTGCTGGATCTCTTGAGAGCTTTTTTTATCCGCCAGGTGTAAAGGTTTTTTTCTTAGTGGCACAGTTTCTATCTCTTTGCCAGATCTGAAAGGTCTTCCTTTTCTTGTCAATCATGTGTTCAATCTCACTGTCATTCTCATCAAACCAGTCCTGGTGTTTCTTGGTTTGATATCCAATAGTTTGTTCACAGGATGCAATAATGGATGCTTTTAGCTTGGTCCAGTGTTCCTCGATGTTATCAGGGAATTCTGAAAGCAGATGGTCCTTAAGAGTCGTTTGGAAGCAATCCTGCTTAATGGGATCTTGAAGGGCTTGAGTGTTCATTTTGCTCCTTGGTTTCCTTCCTTGAAGCCTGAGTTGAGGTATTATCTTGATAGCCATCGTGGAGAGTATTAGTCAGTGATTTGTCCAGCAGTTGTCGGCACTTGTCATAGCTCTGGTAAGGAGCACATCACGTCGATGTTTAGCACGGACGATAACATAAGACCATGTGGTGTAGTGGTTAGAGTGTTGGACTAGGACCTGGGAGAGACCAGGGTTCAAATCCCCACTAGGGGTGTGACCTTGGAAGCCAGTTACTGCCTCTTAGCCTCACCTGCCTTACAGGGCTGTTGTCGAGGGAGAGAACTACGTATGCCACCTTGAGCTCCTTGAGGGGGGGACGGGACATGGGATAGAAATCATGCAATTAAAAAAGAAAAAAGGCTGAGCCCCTGAAGCACGGAGCATCAAACCTCAGAATCCCTTGACCCCCTTCCAGAACCAATTTCAGCCACTCTTCTTCAGACAGAAGCCGCTTACAGACTCTCACTGCGTGGCAAAACCGCTCCATTTTCCAAACCGTCTCTGGCTTGCTGTCTGAAGTTTAACTGAATTGCTTTGTAAATCCCGGCAATAAAAACCACCCACAATTGCCCAAATAATGGAACAGAGAAGAAGTGAGCTTTAAAATGATTATGGTGCTGGGAAGAAGGAAGAAAAAGAAATAAAGTAGGGAGCCTCGTTGAGTCTGAATGGGGAAAAATGGGCAGAGGAGCAATGCGCCTCCTGAAGCAGAACGGAATGTATTATTATTTTTAATGGAAATTCAAAAAGGGGCTTTTGCAGCTACATCAGGCAGAGAATGAGCATGGAAATGGCTAATTCCGCTTGACCAAGCTGGGAGTGGAGCTGGCTTCGTTTTGCGAGGCTGAGACACACTTGCCAGGGCGGGAAGAACTTTTTCTTGGGTCCTGTGAATTGCAGGGGCGAGATGGCCTGCTCTGAAAGGAGGGCGCTGTGCTAGGGCTGCGTCCTCATGGGGCACATTCTGTGCGCAAAGCAGTCTGCGGCTCTTAAGCTCGAAGTAGGGTTTGCTGCCCCTGCTGTGACCTCGCCGTGGGGCAGGTGCCCTTTGCAGCTCCCTCCCCTACCATACCTCACTCTGGATGGGGTGTGCATTCTTGCCCTCAGCCACCTGAGGCAACCATCTCACTCTCCCAACAGCAGGGCTGGCCCCGCTTATGAAGGGCACAGGCACCGTCCACATTTACCGTGAAGCCACTGGCAAATTAGGTTTCTTACTTAAAAGAACACCAAACTCCCCCCCCCCCCCGCCCACAGCAAACAATCAGATCCAAAGACCCTTTATTCTGGGCATGTGTCTTCTTTGAGAACGGCCAGGCAGAAAGGCACCCTGGTCGCATCCAGCGCTCCAGAAGTCTAATGGACCTTGACAAGTGCAGCACAGAGGCTATTTGAGCAGGAGTCCTGATCCAGCCCCCTCCGCAGGCCTGCGGCTCCCTTGGGCTGTGTCTCCACCCACTCTGAACAATTAGCACTTTTCCCTCACTAATTGATTCTGCTGGTGCACATCGGACAATTAGAATTTAAATTGCCTTCTACAAAAGGTCACAAAAACATGTTAGGAGTTGAATCTATTAGGAAGGATTGCTCCAGAGTCAGCCTCGTGCTTCCATTTCCTCTCTCTTCCCCACAAAGCGGAACAAATCCTGGTGCCTCTTCCTTGCCTTCTTTGTTCAAAGTTCAAAACGGGAATTTCAACATGTCTGGGGTGGGGGTGGGGAGGTTGTGGTCTCTCCCCCAAAGGAAACCAAACTCAGCTAAGTGCTGGAAATCCCCAGCTGGGTGGCCAGATGCAAAACAGGACGTGGTTCCTGTGCCTTCGAGGGAGCGCAGGAGCCTGGCTGCCAGAACGATGATGGCATCTGCTCACCTGCCAGGGAAATGGACGGTCCCTTTTTGATTTAGCAAGCGGATGAAGGATAATGAAGCTTTCAAGTTAATTTACGACTGATTAGCCTGGGGGGGACAGGATGGGACGGACGGGCCTTTTTATCTCCACAGGCCAGTTCCTCATCAGGACCAGCCTTAGGAGCCCAATTGGGTGGGTGGAGTTAAACCCAACTGTCAATCATGTCACAACATTATGACATCACATGATTGACATGTGATGGGACTTGCTCATCTGTCAAAATCCCTTGCTGGAGTGAAGTTCAAAGGACGGGTGCAGTGATGCTGCCAGAGAGCTCCTAAGGACATAAGATCCAGCCAAAGGGTTGGAGGCCATCTTGTTCGCCACCCTGTTCTCAGAGTGGCCAACCAGATGCTTGAATGGGAAACCAGCAAGCAGGATCCGAGCACAAGACCCCTCCCCCTCCCCCTGCGCATTCCAGAAGCTGGTTTTCAGGAGCATCGCTGCCTCCAGCTGTGGAGGCAGAGCAGAGCCTTCATCCTGGCCAGAAGCCCCCTGGCCCTCTCCTCCTGCAGGGCTTTCCTCCTGAATCCAAACTCAGCAGGATCACATATCAACCATATGTCAGGAGTGCTCTGATGGTGTTTCCTGCTTGGCAGGGGGTTGGACTCGATGGCCCTTGTGGTCTCTTCCAACTCTATGATTCTATGATTCACTACCCCTCTGCACTGGCTGCTGGGAAGAGAGCACAATCCCCCCCCCTTGTGCAGCACTCCAGAAGCTCCCAAGAAGGCAGGGGGCTTGGGGGCAAGGACCACCTCAGGGCCAGGGCAGGTCTTGCCGCTAAGGGGCCTAACAGGCCAAATGGGGAAGCTTGGCTGCTGCCCCCCCCAGCCCAGAGCAAGTCAGTTTATTTATGTATTTAACTTGTTAGCCACGTAATACAAAAGAAAAACAGTCTCTAAGCAACTTACTGAAAAAAGAGCCAAAGGCATAAAAACAGACAACAATATGTTACAATAGAAAAATTACACAACTATGAAACAGTCCCAGCAGAGGACTTCTGCAGCAGCAAACATTTCATTAATAGAACACAGAACTGTTAACATAATGTGCCCAATGCCTGGGAGAAGATTCACCTGGTGCTGGGAAGATTTTTTTATTATAAAAAAACATGTTTATTGATTTTTTAGCATACAGCTGTATAAAGTCAACAAGGTGTGCAAATGAATCAGGAGAAGAAGAAGAAGAAGAAGAAGAAGAAGAAGAAGAAGAAGAAGAAGAAGAAGAAGAAGAAGAAGAAGAAACACTGTAACCATAACAATTACAGTCGTACTTTCGAAATAGAACGGAATCTGTTCCGGAAGTCCGTTTGACTTCCAAAACATTCGAAAATCAAATCACAGCTTCTTACTGGCTGCAGGAAGCTCCTGCCGTGGAAGCCCCATTGGACGTTTGGGTTCCAAAAGAACATTTGCAAAGCAGAACAATCACTTCTGGGTTTACGGTGTTTGGGAGCCAAAGCGTCTGAGTTCTAGGGCGTTTGGGATCCAAGGTACAGGCGTTGCATAAATCATCTTATCCATCCTCAATATTAAGAAACAGATATGGAGCAATGGGCCACAATGAAATCAGGTCAGTCATCAATGATGGCGTCAGGTGGGCCTCTGTAGGGAGAATATTCTGAAGAGGACCTCTTCCTTCTTGCTTCTTTTCCCTTGTCACAGAAAGAAATAACCAAGTGGAAGTAATTTGGATACTTCTTTCCTTTTCTTTGACGGCGTTCCTGAGTCATACCAATCTTAACAAATGGGACATTGTGCTATGCCCTGCTGCTCTTGTATTTCCCTGTCTGCATTCTTGGGCTCTCCTGGGGCTGGGAGGCATGTCTCTTGCGGCTGCCATGATGAGCTCCTGCCCCTCCAAGGTTCACCACGACACCACTGAGCAGAAGAGGCGAACTCCCTTTCTCCTCCCCCAGGTTAATAGCCCACCTTCACTCCAAGGAGCTCAAAGTGGCATACACTTCCCGTCTCTTATCCATTAATGCTGCACAACGCCCCTGTGAGGTAGGCTGGCTGAGAGATAGCGACATGCCCAGGGCCACGCAGTGGGCAGGGCAAGGGGTTGGACTAGATGACCCCTAGGACCCCTTCCGACTCTACCATTCTATGATTACATTAAAGACTGTGCTTCGTTCATCACAGTCCATCTTCTTCCCTTGCCAGTCCTTCCTCTCCATGGGCTTTTGGTGAGCTACTTACTGACATTGGCTTTTGTACTCTAGGTGTGGGGTTTTCCATCAGCAAGGTTAATGCTGGAGGTAATAGGAAAGATGTTCCTTTCAGACATAAGTCTCCTGGTAGGGCTGTGTGTGTGTGTTTCTGCAGATGGGCTGGATGGACACTAAGTGCAGGTGAAATGGCTTTGGGCGATGATCTCAGCACAAAAGGCAACGTTCTTGGGGAGCTGCAGTAAAGATGCTTAATTGTGTTGCACAAACGCCGAACCTATTAGAGATTAAAAAGAGAAACCTGCTCTGTGCAACGGCTGCCTTTTGCTCCTTGCTGCCACCTGGAAACTAAGGTGCTTTCTGAGCTGTGATTATGAGGTGGTCCGATTAATTTGCAAAGTGTTTTACAGGCTGCATCTGTTCAGCGCAACTGTCCCTGAGTCTCAGTCGAGGCCAGTTTCACCCCCAAACCATGAGCTTTGATTGCGACATACAGAACAGCGGCAGGATAAAAGTCATTCTAAATATGGTGCATAAAGAGGCTGTAGAAATCTAGACTGGCCCATTCTTTATGTTCCATCCTGCCTTGTTTCCCTGAAAAGCCAAGGGTAGCAAACAACACATGCTGTGAGCACACAGTACATTTAAGGTGCATTTCCACCCCCTGCAAAGAATCGTGGGAACCGTACTTTGCTAAGGGTGATGGGAATAGGAGCTCTGTGAGGCATAAGCTCCTCTGCTGAGAGCCTGAGGGCCCTGTGCCTGCCTCTCTCCCCCTGGCCCACCTGACAGGCCTCATAAGGACTGATGCTCAGCAGAGAGGGTCTGTTTTTTTAAAAAAACAACTCTTTTAAAACTGTTTTTCTTTTTTCTTTTAGTGTTTTTATTGTTTTTTAA